ATCGAAATCAACTTAAATGGGCAAATAATTATAATTCAAAATCAACCCAACAACCAAAGTTCAAGCACCTTCATAATAGTAGAATGTTTACAATAGGACTTAAAAACAAGGTTGAGTATCCGAAGAAAGGCACATGATATAATGCCTACGAACAAAATTGTATCATTTGTTAAATTCAATCCGCAGTACAACCAAAGCTAGTTCTATTATAGAAATCAGACCGGTGACCCTTCAGACCTGTGACCCTATATTACAACAGACGGATTTATTACCAATACTCAAGATTTTTTTCTTCCGAAATTTCAAAACAATGGACCACTCAAAATCCACAAAACAAATTGTTAGTTTAAAGAATTGAGTAGAACATTTAAGAAGATTGACAAAATTTAGTCCAAAAACACATCAATTAAAGCAAAAAATACACAAGAAAATCCTAGAATACTATAGTATATAAATAGGTTGGGGCAGAGAAAATGGACCTGCTCATCAACACCAAGTCCAGTACCCTCCTTCCATCCATGGTCCTTTAACAGGTGAGTGTATACGTATTTCAGAGAGCATGAAATTGGAAACGGAACCCAAAAAGGAATCAAAAAGACAATTTGAAAGCCTATATTTTTAGCCACAAAAAAATAACAAATTCTATAAAACAAAAAAATGAGTTTCTATAACTTAAAGTGCGAAAGTTTGCATCTTCTTGGATAAGCAAAAACAAACCAAACCCCAGATGCCACACGAAAAAGCAAACCAGGAAATTGAATGAAGCCAAATGACCTCTCAAACAAAAACAAAAAGCAAAAACTAAAAGAAAAAATTTAACCAAATCAAAGAAGATATTCAGTAAAAAACAAAAAGCGCACATACAATTGAGAAAATTAAAAATTGCAAAATTGTGGTTGCCAAAGTGAGAATAAGGTGTGCGCGGTGGTTGCCCTTCGTTATCCACTTAGACCCTATACAATTTTCTTCAAAATTATTGAACCTCGAAATTAATAATGTACGCATAGTTGGGTACTAATGCCAAAACGAAAGAAACACACATGTGCTTGTGCGTTATATTTTTGTGTCTTCATCTTTCATCTCCGACCGAAATTACAATCGCATTTTATGTTTTTCTATAAACTTTTATTCACTATTCCAATTTCGCTTTTGTTTCTTTCATAAAAGATTAAAATATGAATACAAAAGTAGAGAAGAGATGCCTCACCAAAATAAAGAAGTCCTAAAAGCATAAGTTTCCTTGAGAAGCTCTATCACGCACCATCATCTTCGTTCAAGGCAGCTTGGTTTCCATACAACCAAACGTTTATTATCATATTCATTTTATTGATATTTGGGGTTTAGAAGTCGGTGGAGAAAATCATACAACTCGAAACCCCACGACCATTGGAGCCTTGCCACCGTACACAACGTCGAGGAGGTGAAGTCCCTGATCTGGCTGGGCAGCCTGGGTTCGATTTTGCTGTGGGCATCCTCCTCATTATGGTCGTTGCTCTGTGGAACACCTTCTACTCCACGAAAAAATGAGGAAACAACCTTTAGAGAATGGCGAACCCACAATTATAATGTGGAAGATTAAATAAAAGGGATAGTCTAGAAAATAACAAGTACCCTGCACATAATGTAAAATTATGATAATTTACATGTCAAAAGACAACTGAATAAATGAATACACCGTTGCACAAAGTCTGGAAATACATGAATCAGCTATAGTGAATGGTCTCAAATTCAATACCCATAAACATGGTCAAAAAGGGATAATAGATAGAAACACAACTACTCCAATCATTCAAATCAATACATCTATAAATCAAAATGATGACCATACCCAAAATCTTTTTTCACCGTATGTTGCTTCAAAATACATGTAGAGTAGTATAAATCCATTATACTATAAAGAAAAATCATTTTCTCAAATTCAACCAATAGATGCATCCTGGATATCAACAAAAAATGTTCAAAGGGTTATAAAAACAAAACAGGGCCCCTCACATTAAAAACAAAAAGAGAAGGATAATCCCATAGTCAAAATCTCACCAGCCAAAAGCACCAGTGGAAACTTCATTGTCAGAAAGATAATGCAACTCGAAAATTGAAATAGAAACTAAATCGAACATCAAACTTCAAAAACATTCAACTCCGAGAAATAACCACCCCATTATTTTATTGGTATAAACACAAAACACTCACATTTTTTCTCCACCCGCTCTTCACTCAGCCATTTCTGATTCCACGTGGTCCTTCCCTCGTTCTCCTGATTTATCATGTTCAACCACCGCATGATTTCTCTCTTATAAGGCCCATTATGCCTGAGTTTTCAAATTTGAATAAAATTTGGTAACAAAATAACTTTTTAAATGTCATAATGTTCTTGTGTTTCACCACTTCCACCAGGTCATATTCGTCTTTTCTCTAAGCTTCCCGCCTCTGTATCTGGAGGACACACTTTAAAGACCTAACAACATCCAAAAATTGGGACCCTGCTTTCAAGGAAACAACTTGGAAAAAGAAAAATGGTTGAACTCATTCTGGTAGTGAATACCAAACTTTAAAGACCTAAGCCTTGGTATGGTGACACCAAACTCTTTTGTCATTTTTTCTTAATGGAAAAATTTTAAGAACACATTTTCTTGTGATGAAATAAAAATCTCATGCTATCATAAACTTGCTATTTCCTTGATCTCTTCAGATCTTATAAGAAAAAGGTATGAGAAA